GTGGTGATGCACGAACGTGGTGTGCGTGTCGCGGCACACGGTCGAGTGAGCAACACGCACAGATCTCGGTCTCCGCTGTGCCGTATGCACACATGTATAGATATATACACATATATACAGACGGGTAGCACGTGTATGCTGAGCTATGTGTTGACGGTCGTTCACACACACACGTACGCATACATGTACGCGCGAGGTGCAGGCGAGGTTAATACTACCAGATAGAGCAACGTGTATATACTGCGCGTTATTTAGAGCTTGCGCGTTCTTTAGAGATGTCAGAGAGAGAGAGAGAAAGAGAGAGAAAGATATGTCGATCGACGACTCGGGGAAATCGATGCTGCCTTTCGCTCTTTTTTTTTTTTTTTTTTTTTTTTTTTAAGAGGAGAGGGGAGGCTCTGTTCGGTCGTTTTCTTTTTTGGAGATCGCGTCAGGCGGGCAAAAGCGAAGTTACGAAACGATGATGTAAAAGACGGTCGAGAAAGTAAGCGAGACGGGTGGCTCCGTGGCTAACTGAACGCGATTCACTTTCGTGACTTACTCCCCTCCTCCTTCCCCTCCTCCTCCTGCTCCTGTCCCTATCCCCCTCCCTTCTTCTGTTCTCGGAACTCACTTCGTCATTTCGCTTCTTCTGCGCAATAGTCATTCGTTTTAACGGCCACGCTGCCTCTAAGGCTTAATTAGTATTATAGGCTATATATGTATATACGTGTTTTAATCGGAGCGGATATTCCAGATTCTCTCGCTAATTGGCTCTAAGAGGTATGGATCTATAATCTATAGCCAATTAATAAATGCTATTCTATGTGCCGTAAAACGATAAAAGAATTACGATCCTTCCCCTGGATATCTTGAATTTTAGGTTTTTTTTTATACATTAATTTTTAGGAATCAATATCGACGATATCCCATCGCGACGATATTTGTATCGTAAATTACGATAATTCGGAGAGACGTTGACCAAGCCATTTAATATAATTCTCGAATAATTGGTTCTCTTCTTTCACTATTGAAACCTTCTATCGTTATATCTAATTTGAGAAAGAAAATATTTCTCATGAACGATCCCAATTTTATCGTTACATTCACATATATTAAAACAATATCGAAACTCTCTCCTCCCCAACTCCACGACTCCAAATGTTCACTATAAAGTTTTCGCCTTAAGCTCTCGCAACCTTCGATACCTGAGAGGCGTTGATCAACGGCGACGGTCGCGTGATATCGATTCATACACGACAGTTTAGCGCAACAGTTACGTAAATGCACTCGCACCCGCTGCTCTCCGGGTCCCTGTTTGCGTGTACATGCGCTCAAACTTCGTGAGCGTGAAACAGCGCGCTGATGGGACGAGGTTAATGACAATATGTCGGACTGCCACGGTTCCTCCCACGCGCTCGGTTGTACTGGCCCATATAATTGTTATTCCGTCTCGCGCACCAGACACGCATACACACGCACGCACACGGATACATACACGCGCGGCCGGCCATTTAATTTTCCATCGGTGAACCGTGAGCCGTTTTTGCGCGGAAAGGTCTGGTATCCGGTTATTTCGCGTTGTTTATCTCTCCTGCATGGCCGATCTTCTTTATGGCGCCCCCTCCTCTCTTCCTTCCTTGCTTGCTTAGGTTAGGCCTTTTTTTCTCTTCTTTTTTCTCGAACCTTCGATGGGTTCCTCCTCGAGACCGTTTCGCGGGTCTTCTTCTTTGACCGAGTGATGGCGTTTTAAGTTGGAAATAATTTGCGGGGTGATGGGTACGCGTGGCAACGCTGCCCGCGTTGTTTCACTTGAGTTGAACGTTCCTCGAGCGTTTCCCTAAGCGTAGTAGGACGATCGCGTAGGAATTTCGAGCGAAATATTTCGCGGATGCTGTTTCTCTTAACTCTGTTTTTTTTTAACTCCCTCCTCGTTTCAGAAAAATCGAAACGAAACGAGTTCATTAGAATTTAAAGTTGTACAAGTTTTGAGTTTTTTTTTTTTTTTTCCAATCATTTTT